CCGGGTGCGTCCCGACGTATGAGGGGAGATATGATTGTGTGAGGGCTGGTGAGAATGTAGCCAGGCCCAGTGTGCGGTCGCACGCGTCTTTGGATTAGCCGGCGTGTTGACAGACCCCATACGAGGCCTGGTGCGTCCCGTTGTATTAGGGGATTATGTTATATGTTGATGAGTTCTCACATGTCGTAGGTTTATCCGGCGTGCAGATAGGTCCCATACGTAACTTTGGATGTTCCGGCGTATTGGGAGATATTGTGATTGTGTTTGGTGTGTTTTGATGGATAAATCCTAGAATGTATGAAATTGTATGGTAGTAATGGTTTATTTGATATTAGGAGCCAGGATGGATACGAAAGAGCTACGTGTGGCTTGATCCCTTAGTAGGGTACGTAGGCAGCCTGAAGTTACTAGGTGCAGCCACAGATTAGACCCCACTTAGGTGGTCTTACTGAGATTGGTTTGGACCTCGTTGTTGGTCCCAAAACTTGGTTGAATTGAGGCTCGTCCTGTGGACTGAGTGAGTGAAGGTGTGCATAAATAGATTTTGAAGTTGTTATATGCATGTTTGATGCATTAAGTTATTTTGAAAATATTGTGGGTAGTTCTGCTAGAATCATTTGAAGGCCAGAGGCCCTTTATGTAATTGCATGAGATTATATTGTGCGTGCTGCCGGTTGGGTTATAAAATGTGTTGTATGCAGGTGGAAATTTTGGGGAAATGTGCTTTTTTTTAGGGGAGACTCTGCCAAAACTTCGGCAGGAAGTCTCGTGCCCTTAATCTTCTCTGGTAAACGAGGACATAGATTTAAGGAGTGAACCCGGCATGGGTGTGATGCCGGGGTCTCCGCAGGGTTCGTCTCAGGTTCCGGGAAATTTGGGGCTGGTCCTGTCATTTTTGCTCCAATGGGGAAGATGTAAATCTAAAGATGTATAAATCTAAATATGTATAATTGATTTTTTTTGTCTTAATTCGTTTTTGTGTTAACTACATAAAATTAATTTTGTGTGTGTTAAGTTTATTTTATTTTTTCAAACAAATAGACCTAAAAAGATTTAAATTTGGAGAAGATATGATTTCATCCCCAAAAAAATTATTAGAAGAACAAGCTACTATATATATATTACCTATTAATTAATTGATTAATTATGAGTTTCACTGTTGAAGCGTAATCAGCAATAATGAATTATTTTATTTTATGTGGCTACAAATTAAGTATAAAGTTTTGTCTAGCAACTACTCTAGCCGAGCGTCTTGGGCAAGTAGGTTTACATTAAGCCTTTTTGCTCACTTTTGTCCACATTTTCTCATATTTTCTCATGTAGGCCCCCGCCTGTAAGAGATGTGAAAAAGAATGCACATGTTCATCGAAATTTGCATCTCACGGTTGTGATGCAAATTTATAATCATTCACACCTACCCATTGCAAGTGATTCCGATCACAAATGGTATATATATTTAACATACACCTCATTATACAACCACCTACTGGAGATGCTCTTACTAGATGATATTATGTTAAGTTAGATTCAATGCGCTAAAACCTTTCACAATTTAAAATACCCAACTTAGACCCATTTACAGATTATATCTCCTTCATTTTCCCTTCTGTTATAGTTCTACGTTTACATCAAATGCCTTTTGTTTGGACTGGTTTTTGTCTCAAATTAGAACCGATCTGGTACTATTCATCCGATTTGGTTTGGTTCGATTTTAATAAAAAAAATTTCAAAAACTGTCCGGTTTCGGTTCGGTTTTGAATCGGATTATTAAAAAAAAATTTAATTTTTTTAAAATACAATTCTAAACTGAAATATTATTTTTTTACTTGAAAATTAACAAATTATTCAATTTCATATGAAAATAAATATTAAAGTTAGAAAAGAGAGATATTTTGAAATTGAACTTGGATAAATATTAGTTTTTTTAGTGAAACTAAAAATATAGCATTAAATATAAATATATATTGAAATTATACATTTTTTTTAATTTGACCGGTTCGGTTTTTGACCGATTGTTGACTTTTTGGTCAACTCAGTTTTTTTCCAGTTTGGTTTAGTGAGGTTCGGCTCGGATTTCAGGTTCGCCGGTTTGAGTGCCCACCCCTAGTTAAAACTGAACAAATGGGGTCAATAAAAATATCTCCGAAGAAGATGCATTTGATGCTACGAAATGAGATGCATGCAAAAACAAATAGACTGCTGTTGAGATGTACAAAAAATTCATCCAGGGCTTGTGGACGGTCCCTTCTTTCTGCCTGAGAGAGAAGACCGAGTGATTAGAGAAAGGGTGAGAAAGAAGCAAGCTGCGGTGACGAGCACCTTCCAGCCACGGAGGACACCGGAGTTATTGCTGCCTGTGGTGGTTGTAACTGTGATATCATCCTGTTGCTCTTCTTCTTCGTCTGGTAAACATACAAAACGAGAGAAAACCTCCTCTGGAAAACATATATACGAGACAACATATAGATTCATTTATTATTTTGCTTTATTTTATTTTATATTTGGAAATAGTTGGAGTAAAATTATGAAACGCGTCAATAAAACATCACACCTGCCTTACCTTCTTCATCAGAGTCCCCAAGGATCGTATTGAACAATACTGGATCATAAGAAGGATCTGTAGAAATACTATGATGCTCTTCTTGTTGCACCTGCACAAGTCGGATGCCCAACTCCTTAACCAGAAACCCAGATTTCATAATTACAGAAACAACCACTTCATCGCCACCTTCTAACTGATCATACAAATTCCAGTGGCTTAACCATATCATGTCTTCTCCTTCACCTGGAATACCGTAGTGTGATGGGCAATACGTCCCCCCCAGACCCTTACTCTTATTTTTGATCATATGTGATATATAAGTGTCGTGGACAATAGGAGAATTATAGCCAGCATTCACATAGACAACAAAAACAATCAAGCCTCGAGTTCTGTGATTATCGAGTAATGGCACAGTAAAAGATATTGAGGACCCTCTGCTTTTATGGCTGAATTGGCCTGGAACCTCATTCCCACCAAAAAATGTGCTCAATATACCACATTCGTACAGTCCCTGTATATATGCAATAGAACTGACAATATTAGTCAACTCTTTCCTGTGATCATATGAGAGAGAGAGAGAGAGAGAGAGAGAGAGAGAGGCGCACACCTGGACGGGAATTGGATCATCCTTTTGTAAAATGGGTGCCATTGATTCAAAAAAGTTGCAATATCCAGAGGCTAGTAACTTGCACTTGTACTGCCACTCAAATAGGGTGTTGCGATTAAATGATGTGGCTGACACTGCGTGATGGGATTGATATGTTACTTTCTCCAATGAAACGCAATCTACAACATCCAAGTTGTTTACTTTTGGTAACCCTAGAAGCGATTTGAGACTCGTACACATGGAAAAAGAGAGTTTATCGAGCCTCGCTAATCCTTTGATACAATTTGGTAGGCTACAAATTGGATTATTCCCTAGATTTAATCTTTGCAATGACGACATATTACTAAAATCCATAGGAAAGGCATCATCCGAAAGATTGCACCCCCAAAGACTTAATTCTACTAAAGAGCATGGTAAAGAACACAAGATACTCGAACTTCTTTCTAGCCATAATTCACTTATCGGAATTCCATCTGTCTCAAGCACTTTTAACGAGTCCATGTTCCTCAACATCTCAATTGATAACTCCTTTAGATTTGAGCAACCAGATATAATAAATGTTTCAAGTGAATTTAGCATACAAATGTTCTTGGGAAGCAACCTAATCTTTTTGCAATCTTTCATATTCAAGTAAATAAGTCTCTCTAGGTTTCCAATGGATCCATGGACATAAATCAGGCTCGTGCAGTCTACTAGAACCAATTTCTCTAGATTTGGGCAATATGAGAATTCAATGGTTTCTGTAAGGGAATGAGAATGGCTGAGATCAAGGGTCTTCAAGGACGGAAGATACTGTAGAGGAAAAAATGTACAGAAGAAAACAATGTGGGGAGTTAATTTTTACAAATATATAATTTGTTATCAAACTAAAAGCCCAATGAAAATGAAAAAGAAATTGAAAAGGGTAGAGAGTGACATACTTTTGTTCCCTTGAATACTTGTCTCAGACCGCTGTATTGCATTTCAAGAACAATAATGCTTCCCAAAGGAAAATCGACGGGTATAGAATCTAAAGGAAATTCAAGCCAACACAACCATCTTAGTCCACTACAAAATTTTGCGTAACATCCGCGGAGTTTTACATGACTAAGATGGAGTAGTTTTAGTTCCTGCATCCGTGAAAATGCATTGGTTTCCAAGACTTTCTCATTTGAGTTTATAGTAGGGTACATGTGCATGTCCAGGACAAGACCTTCAATTGTTTCCGTACCCTACAAAAGAAAAGGAAAAAACATTTGGAAAGTTTTTAGAAGAGGAAAAACAAAAATGTGTACAAAATAACGCATATTTCTTACATTCTTTTCCTTCAAGATTTTGAAAGAGTCCTTATGATGCCATACTCTACTACGCTTCCAGGGCTCCTTTGATTCTAGGCGAACAATTTCTCTTCCCATTCCACAAATCAGGTCGTGCATCCGCACCTTGTCCCATCGATCAATAATCACCAAACATCTATCGATGAGATTTTGAATTCCAACAATTGTATAGAAATCACATCCATCTAGTATTTTAGCAATGTAATCTTTGTCCATTCCGATAAAGAAACAAGCAATGTGGAGGAATAATTTTTGGTCATGGTCATCTTGCAAAGAGTCATAGCTTACTCTTAGTTTATTTATTATTTCACCATTTGGAATAACTTCTAACTTCTCCAATGCACTTTTCCATAGACATACACTTTCCCCCAACAAAGAAGAACCTAAAACTTTGAGAGCTAATGGAAGTCCTCCGCAATGATCGACTAGCTTCTCTGAATATTCTATGTAATCTTCAATGGGATGGTCTTGGCCAAAAGTGTGCCAACTAAAGAGCTCCAATGATTCTTCTTGAGTCAAAGTTTCAACTGCATACACCTCAGTAACTTGATGAGCCTTTAGCAATCTTGCACGCCTAGTTGTTATGATGATTTTACTTCCTGGATAAAATTGATCTTTCATTTGAAATACTGCATCTAATTGGTCCGTATGATCCACATCATCGAGAACAAGAAGAACCCTTTTAGAGCTTATTGCATCTTCAATCTTAATTAATCCCTCACTAACATTGCTTATTTTCATTTTTCTCCCATTCAAAATGTCAGAAAGAAGAAGTGTTTGTATTTGAACTAAGCCATTGGGTTGCTGTGAAACTTCTTTGATATTTTCAAGGAAGCTGCTTCCTTCAAATATTCTAAAGTTCGAATTGTAAACAGTCTTTGCGATGGTTGTTTTCCCTATTCCACTCATCCCATAGATTACAAGTATGCCAACATCAGTTGACCTCCGTTGTAACCAGAAATTAATTCTTTCGACTCGAGAATGCATTCCAACCAAGTTGGGAGAAACACTCAATGGTGTGCGACTTAGTTTGTCTCCAATCACTTTAACTATTTTCTTGATGAACTTCGACTCGTACCTAAAAAATTGCAATAAAAATGAAAGAGAATTCAAACATGCATGCATGATTTCATATACTTAAGTTATAAAATACCATGGAAATAAGTTCAGAAAGTTAGAAGGTACAAATATATAATAGATGAGTGCTGAAAGAGTTAGATAGAACTTAAAACTACGTCTGCAATAACAGCTGGATAATAGGTATTTCTCTGTCTTTGCATCTCAGTCCCGGATGCCTTCAGAAGAATCTGAATTGCTGAGGGTGTCTTGAGTGTCTTTGTGGATGTGTTTTTATCAATAATTTTTATTTTATTTTATTTGAAAGGACAGAATCTATCAAAATTTTGAACTACATTTAATAACGAGATACTAATTCAGTTGCAACCAAATAAAGAAACTAATTCAGTTGGTAGTAGGAATGAAATTACCCATGAGCTTGATTTTGCAAGACCATCCCTGCCAGATCTGCAACCTCTGCAAGTGCCTCTCTCCATGCCTTCACCTTCGGCAGTGGTTGAGTTTTTTGGTGTCTAGCAAATGCCTTTGCAAGACTTCCTGTCTGCTTCTTTACATGGGATGGATACACATCGTAGAAGACAGGCAAAACGACATGGGCATCTGAGGTCTTTCTCTTGCGTTCAAGGATCATCACCAGCTCGTCAAGGCACCATCTGGATGACGCATAGTCTTTGGAGAACACAATGACAGAAGTTCGTGAGTGTTTGATTGCTTTCTGCAGTTCGGGCTTGATACCTTCTCCTCTCTCGACTTCATCGTAGTCTCGGAAAGTGCGAAATCCAGCGTTGACAAGGGCCGTGTAGAGGTGGTCAGTGAAAGTCTTGCGAGTGTCTTGGCCTCTGAAACTCAGGAACACGTGATAACGACAATATCCAGAAGTACTGGAAACAAAGGAGGTTTGTGGATCGGCTGCTCTCACAAGAGCCATGGATATCGACGACTTGAAGTGGTCAAGAAACAAACTAGCGTTTAGGGTTGTTATGATGAATTGCAGAATTCAATGAATGAAAAGACAGCCTACCCATAACTCCATTGACTTGACGACAGAAACAGAGTGAGTGTCCCTTAATCTTCAATGTCCTCCTTTCACTCTGTGACCTTTACCAGTAGTTTCACTTTTCTCAATTTCCTTTTTTTTATTGCCAATTGCCTTTGGAATGGATTTGGTGATGAGACTTGGCTTGGCTTAATAATTACTTCTTGTTCTTTTTACATATTCAATTTTGATCTGGGTGTTATTATGTGTTTTCCTTGTTCCTGTTTACATATTCAGCTTTAGATTCACACTTTGTTTTGCATGCTAGCTAGGTTGTGACATTTTTTTGTTAATGTCCATGTCATGGATTGGTTGGACCAATCGGTTGCTTCCATTTGGCGCATTCGAAACGCTACACTTGGCAGAAGAAATTCGGCAGTGGACTTTTAGCAGACAAAGAATTCGGTTTTCCCCTTAACAAAAAAAGAAAAAAAAGAAATAGTATAACCGGGCGGCTATACTCGGGTTTGTCCAATTTTTTAAAAAAGAAATCGTATAGCCGGGCGGCTATACACCCTTTTTTTTTTCCAATTTTTTAAAATGAATATAGCTGCCATACTCTGTTTTTTAACTAATTTTTTTATTATAATAGAATACCCACGTAACTATATCAAATCAATATCTATAAAGTATAAATTAATGCAACTAGGAGGTCTTTTTTTCATTAATTTTTTTTATGCCAAAATTTTAAAAAGTAAAACACGTACATATTTTATTCGTATAGCCATTTGGCTATACCAAATTAATATCTATAAAGTATATGGCTATACCAAATTAATATCTATAAAGTATAAATTAATGCAACTAGGAGGGTCCCTCATTCATATTTTTTTTTATTGTATAGCCGATTGGCTATACTACGGTTTTTTAAAAAAACAGTATAGCCTACCGGCTATACCTGGTTTTTTTGTTTTTTTACAAAGAAATAGTATAGCCATGTGGCGATACTCGGTTTTTCCATTTTTTCTAAAAGAAATAGTATAACCCCGTGGCGATAATGGGCTTTTTCCAATTTTTTGTGGGATGGGTGAAAATGTTTTATGATCTTCCAGAGGCATGGGTGAAAATGTTTTCGTAACATAATTTCAAAAAAAGAAATTGCTTTCGATAAAAAGTTACTTAGTTTTTTTTTCGTCCGAAAGCTAGGTTGGTTTAAAAATAAATAAAGAGAAAACGACAAAAATAAATTAGATCTAACGGACGGTCACGATCAGGAATAGTTGCTTCATATCGGACGGTCACGATCAGTTTTGCTATCACCGCGTCTAACGAACGCAATACTTCTTTCCTGGCGCCAGTTGGAAAGTCTCCAGCCAGAGTGATCAAAGTTTCAGGCCAGAGTGATCAAAGTTTCGCTTACAGTTAGGGTTTCAATCGCAACGAAAGCAAAAGGCATTTTCTTTCTTTCTCCGTGATCGTTTTCTCTCTCTTTGATCGTTCGTCAGTCCAGACGATAATCGAATAGCTTCAAAGCTCAAAGCTCTCGCCCAATCGAATCGATCAGGTTTGCTTCTTCTCTTCACGCGTCTCTGCAATCGCATTGTTCCTTCTAGGGTTTTGTTCGTTTTCGACCGTTAATTGATACCCAAGAGGCTATTTTTTTCGCCGAACGCGTATTTCTTGAGGATAATGGTTTTTGGTTATGGGTTTGATGCTCGCTCAAGCTGGATATCTAGGGTTTCGATTTTAGGGTTACTTTCATTGTTGTTTAGGATACGCCTTGGGATCGGCGACTGGCTAGTTTGAAAAGTTTTCGAATTGATTTAAAGGATTTGAAGAATCCACCCTTGCTAGTTTCTCGATTCTTAGAGGGTGATCGTACGTCGATTTGGATTTCAAGGCTTATTGGGTTTCGTATATTTTTAGGGTTTTCTGAAGATCGATCAAATATTGAAATTCTGTTTGAGGGGGTGATCTTCGAAGCTGTCTCTCTGCGATTTCTTATTGGTTTCCCTCGACCTGCAGGAGGACCTTCAAAAACTGTTTGCGCCTTTTGGGCTGCTGGAAGGTGCACAAGGGAATTCTGTCGTTTCCTGCACGCGGATGCACCGCCTTCATCCATGAACCCTCAAATTTCAAAGAAGTCGACTCTTGTTTGGACGAAGGAAGCAACTGCCACCGAAAAGGGCAATGCATGCAATGCTACTCAGAAAAGCAATGCTCCTCACGAAAGCAATGCTCCTCAGAAAAGCAATGCTGCCCAGAAAAGCAATCCTACTCCGAAAAGTGTCTGCAAGTTCTGGGTAGATGGAAATTGTGTGAAAGGTGATCGATGCCGGTATTTGCATAACTGGTTCCGTGGTGAGGGGTTCTCCATGTTGGCAAAGCTCCAAGGGCACACGAAGGTATTTTTCATTTTGGAAGTATGTTTTCTTTTTTAATTTGTTCTGTTCCTCTTTATTTCCGAGTTTGGACAATCATAATAATTGTGAAATTTATGTTAACAGGCTGTCACTGGTATTGCCCTTCCTGAACGAACTAACAAGCTTTATTCAACCAGTAAAGATGGAACAGCCAGAGTTTGGGACTGCCATAGTGGTGAATGTGGCAGTGTGATTGATCTTGGTGGTGAAGCAGGTTCTTTAATTAGTGAGGGCCCATGGGTTTTTGCTGGTGTACCAAATCTTGTTAAGGTATTTCATTGTTGTAACTGGAGCACTTTCTTTTAGTAGCTTGGTTGGTTCAACTTCAATATGTATGCTGATTTTGCTTGATGTTGCAGGTTTGGAATACTGAGACAAATTCTGAATTCAACCTGGATGGACCTGTTGGCCAAATGCATGCTATGGTGGTTGGTAATGAAATGCTTTTCGCCGGGACACAGGTAAAGAGCCTAACAATTCTGCAGCTTTCCTAATTATTGCGTAGCTGGGATTTTAGGATATATGTTCCTCCTTGTATTCATAGTGCACCATTTTCAATTGATTTATCTCTTTCTTTTAATATTGCAGAATGGTGATATATGTGTGTGGAAAGGTAGCATTGAAACTAATCCGCCATTTTATCCTGCTGCAACTCTGAAGGGCCACACTGGTGCTGTGGTATGTTTAACTGTTGGGCGCAACAGGCTTTACTCGGGTTCTGTGGACCATACAATTAAGGTAAGTTTGTGGCATCTACAAACAAGTCTTGTCAGTTTCTACCATATGTCCTCTCCTCTATTTACAAGAGAGGGAGCAAAATGATTTATTCCAATAATCTGATTATGGAGTGCTTCTGTATTCAAATTCCTCTTGTAATTTACTGTAATGTTCTTTTTGTTTCAGGTGTGGGACCTTTATACTTTGCAGGGTGTTCTGACACTAAATGGGCATTCTGGTGCGGTGATGTCTCTTCTTTGCTGGGATCAGTTCTTGCTCTCATGCTCACTGGACAACACGATAAAGATGTGGGCTGCCACTGAAGGAGGTGGTTTGGAAGTGACCTACACTCACAACGAAGAGCAGGGTGTTCTTGATCTTGCCGGAATGACAGATGCAGAAAGCAAGCCAATCTTGCTTTCTTCTTGCAATGATAATTCTGTCCGCATATATGAACTGCCATCATTCACTGAGAGAGGCAGATTATTTGCAAAACAAGAAGTTCGGACGGTCGAGGTAGGACCTGGAGGACTATTCTTCAGTGGGGATGCAACTGGTCTCCTTTCTGTTTGGAAGTGGATGGATCCTCCCGCGGTCAAAGTGGAGTCTTCATGAGTTACTTTACTCCATCTAGTTCCGTGAATATTTTAGACAAGAACATTTCCTTCAGTTTGCATGAGCCATTGCTATGGTGGCCGTGAAGGCATCAATGAACAATTGTAGCAATCCTGTATCAAAATTTTTGACAGCCAGTCAGTTATTCAGATTTGTTTTGTTCATTTATGTAGGGATCAATTATTAATACATGATCTCTAGGATGCTTGTTCGTACAGTGAAATTTTTCATTCAGAAAAATGATTCATTATTGAGAATTTAAATTCATGATAAATGCAAAATTCTTTGGATTTGAACTGTCTTCATAATGGTGTCTGTTTATATTAGTTTTGAATTTACATTGTGGTTTATCAAATGTATGAGAGTCCGAGCAGAATTAATATATATAAAAGAAATCAATATTTTTGCTCATCACTATAACTCAGGGTATACTCAGTATTTGACATGTGTCCATGATGAGCTTAACCGTGGTTATGCCCATGGAGTGAGAGTACACCTTGGTTAAAGTGGTGAGCAAAAATGTTCCCATAAAAGAAATTCAATCTAATAGCTGCCATGCTTTTCGAGTTAGGACCTCATCTAACGAAATGAAAATATGGTTAGACAGACTATTACCAAAATAATAAATAAAAATGAAGGGTCCATTTGAATTTGACAACCATATACAGAGATAAAATTTATCAAATTCAAAGAACATCATTTTGGCAATTGAAACGTAAAATGTATCTTTCAACTTCATCTTCAACCAGACAACCATATACAATTCTCTTGGCAATTGAAATGTAAGATGTATCGTTCTGCATATTTCCTAAGAATACTTTCTCCAGTAGCACTGGCTTCTTCAAGCATGCGAGAAGAACTACCAACTGACGCCCTTGCTTGTGACTCATCATCAAAGTTCAAAGATTCTCAAAACATGAGCACCCTCCCCATTCTACATCATAAGACAAAGGCATATTAAACAAAGGCATACATCAGAATGAGGTAGTAAACAAAAAGTAAAAGGGTTGGGAGTTGCGTACAGCTCTTCCAAGCAACTCTGCCCTCTCTCTGGCTTCTTGGGCCCTCTTCTGATTCCTCAAATTATACTTATCTAGACCTTCTTTCAAAGACTGAGCCTCTTCCGCTATTTGTTCTAAAAGAAATACTATAGCCGCACGGCTATGCCCGGTTTTCCCCCTAATTTTTCAAAAAGAAATAGGATAGCCGCATAGCTCTTTTTAAATTTTTTTTTTAATAAATAAATAGTATAGTCGAGCTGCTATACTCTTTATATATATACTATGATCCTCTTTTTCTTTTATATTTTTTCTCCGATTTTTGTTTATCGATAAGAGTAGTTTAGAACATTATCTATTACTATTAAGCCATTATCCGAGTCTCTATTGTCCTTTTTTGATTTTTTACTTTTCCAGAGTTATTACTCTTATAAAGAATTTAGCAATTTTCCGTTTAATACTGTATTATACATGTACGTGTTAAAGAATCTATATCAATAATAAATCCGTGTTTTGTACACGTGTTAAAGAATCCGTAAAATTCACGTTTTTCAAAAAAGCAAAAGTACAATACTCGTATTGAACCTGTACGTACCTAATATTTCATGTTAAAAACATGTATTTTTTAGAAAATTTTCAATAATACATAGGAAATTCATGTATTATACACATAATTGCCAAAATTTTGCCGAATAAAACACGTATATATTTTATTCGTATACCCTCACGGCTATATCAAATAAATATCTATGGAGTATAAACTAATGCAACTAGAAGGGTTTTTTTTCATAATTTTTTTATGCGAAAATTTAAACAAATAAGTATAGCCGCACGGCTATACTATCTACAACGTATAAACTAATGCACCTAGGAGGGTCCCTTTTTCATAATTTTTTTTTTTAATTAAATAGTATAGCGCGGCGCTACTTGGTTTTTTTAATTTGTTTTTAAAAGAAATAGTATAGCCGATCGGCTATACTCGGTTTTTTGAATTTTTTTAAAAAAAGATATTAGGGAAAGCGAGTAGAGCCGCACGAGTATACTAATTCTTTTTTAACAAATGGGAAAAAACTGAGTATAGCCGCACGGGTGTACTATATCTTTTTAAAAAATTAAAAAAACCGAGTATAGCCGACCGGCAATACTATTTCTTTTATAAAAAAAATTCTAAAAACCGAGTATAGATGCGCTGTATACTATTTCTTTTTTAAAAAAAAATTGAACCGAATATAGCCGCGCGGCTATAGCATTTATTTTCCAAAAAAAATTCTAAAACCTTATTATAGCCGAACGGCTATACTATTTCTTTAAAAAAAATTATAAACGAGTATGGCTGACCGGCTATACTATTTATTAGGACAAAAAAAGAGCAGAGCAACGCCGCTCGGATATACTATTTTTTAAAAACAAAATTAGAAAAAACGAAGTACAGCCGCCTTCTTTTTTTTTTTTTTTGTTGTTGTCTGCAGTGAGATTCTAATTTACTCAACTGATTTGTGAGTTCTGTTTGGTGTCATTATAAATGTGTTTGAGGACTATCTCATTTTATTTATTTATTTTTCTTTTGAGAAGGGAATATTTCATGTTTTTGGTAGTTCTGTCTTCATCCTTTTAACAATTTATTTCTTTATTTAATTGTTCATATAAAAAATTTAATATTCCATTACACCAACAAAAACAAAAACAAAACAAAAACTCCTTTTTTTCATTTAGGTTTGTGTTTGTTGATGCTTTCACTTGTGTTTGTTGGCCTTTTGCCACTTACATGGCGAATAAGAAAATTTATGAGCCATGAACTTCATATAGATTACCCAACAAGTCACTAGACAGGGCTTTCCAAGAGTACATGAGCCCGTTGGTCAGTTGGACTAGGATTCTAGTTATTTTTAATTATTAGCTTTTTTTATATTACTTCTCTTATTCCAATTAGGATTCGGTTTAATTTCCTGTTATGGTTTTTAATTTCCTTTGTCAATTAGGTCTTCTTAATAAGCTGATGTACTCTAGTATAAAAAGGCTATAAAAAGACTGGAGTTTCTTTGGGATTTTTGCCCTAGAACTCAATTATCGTCGTTCCAACTTCAATTCTATTGCTTTGTCCTTCTATTCTCTCTATTTTGGGACTGTTTGGGTTGCTGGACAGCAACTTGTAGTTTCCTGGTCTTGTCAGTTGAATTCTGTATATGTATTTTAGTTTTTAACATGGTTAGCCCCAAAGACATACCCCATGAAATCTTGTTTGACATCATTGCAAAATTGCCTGTAAAATCTCTGTTGAAGTTCAGATGTGTTTGCAAGTCTTGGCATGCTTTAATTAGCAGCCCAAGTTTCATAAGCGCCCATCTCGAAAGGACTGCCATGAAAAGTGGTTGTGATTATTTACTTATGCACTCTGGCAATCCAGATTCCTTGTCAGGATTTTGTCCCGAAACATATGCTAAGTGTTTGGACTTGGATCTTCCTACGCATAGGAGTGGTTCCTCTTTCTACGTTTATGGTTCCTGCAATGGATTGCTAATTTGCTTTGTATATCTGATACTACTAAGGAGACTACATATTTATGGAATCCATCAATCAGGAAGTTCAAGAGACTTCCTAGAGGTCTTATTCGTGTCAAGTATCGTTACAGCGACGTCGCTACCATAGCTCTTGGGTTTGGCCTCGATGTTGGTGGAAATGACTACAAAGTTGTGAGAGTTGGGGATTTTTTGCACGGCGTCTGTGTCGAGGTTTACAGCCTTAGGTTGGACTCTTGGAGAATAATCCATGCAGTTCCCCCTGTGACAGAAATATTTGAAGTGTTCTGGAGTAATAAATGGACTTACTTGAATGGAGTTGTGTATTGGATTGTACAGGAGTTTTTTCCAGATTGCAGATACATCATTTCTTTTGATATGGAGAATGAGATTTTCCAAAGGATTATGCTTCCTGATAGATTGCTCGCAGTGACAGATTCAATTTCCATTAGGGTGTTGGAGAAATCACTTTCTTTGTTCCATCGTAGACAAGAATCAGATCGTGAGTACCATTACTACGACATATGGGTTCTGGAAATGGATTCCTGGAAAATGATTCGCACGATTCCTGTTCCGTCAGAGGGAAAAATTGCATGGCCATTGGCATTTACAGCAAATGGTGGTGTTCATTTTACGACATACGGAAATTGGCAACACAGAAAGTTGGAGTTGTACGATCCTAAATCGGAGCAAGTTACGGATACTGGAATAAAACTTGGTAACTATGGCGGAACCAGGAGGAGGATCTATGGTTACAGTGAGAGTCTAGTTTTACTCAACTGAGTTGTGAGTTCTATTTGATGTCATTTTAAATGTCTTCTGGGGTAAAATCTGTTTTAATTTATTAATTGTGGCAATTGAGTCTTCGTCCATTTTCAAACTAGAAACAAGTGCTAGTTTGCATTTCTATTTTGTTCATATCAAATTTTTAATCTTACACTATCGTTTTTTATTCAGGTGTGTGTTTGTCGATGCTTTGCTCTCCCTCTGTTGGCAAATCTTGCCGTTCACTTATCTAGCCAATTTTGTATGAAATTTGGTTTAGTTGTTGACATTGTGATATTAAAGCTATTAATCGTTGTCTCATCAAATTAGGGTTCTGATTTTGGTCGAAACATCATGGTTTTTCTATGTACCACATTTCACAATTGAAGATGCCAAAAGTGGTAACAAATTGCAGCCGTTGGATGAATTGAAAACCAATCCAATGGTGACATTTCCCTATGCATTTTGTACATAAGAGGATTGAAGAAAAATCGAAAGGAAAAGCAAGAAAGTTGGAAAATAGTTGACCATACGGACAATTATCAGCCATAAACTTTATATAAATTACCCAAGTCACTCTGAACTGTACGGTAAAAGGCCTCAAATTCTGTTGATATTATTCATTCATGTAGAATGCAGTGGCCGAATTAATTATTAATGCATGGCAATTGTTTTATCACAACACAATTCAGACTTGAGACTTTTTGCACAACATGATGAATGGAGATTGCACTAGTGTCACGTCCAGACTCGATTGATTGCTTTGTAACAACATGAAGAAACACGTGCATTAATCGGATTCTGATTAACAAAAAGTATCTTGAAAGGGTTTTTTCAATTTCTGTTAGTTAAAATCCTATTTCACCTGTACAAACAAACACTCCTTTGGCACAAAGAAGGGAGAGAGAGAGAGAGAGAGAGAGAGAGAGAGAGAGAGAGAGAGAGAGAGAGAGAGAGAGAGAGAATCCATGCAAATCAAAGCTTTTATTAAGTTGTTTACCAAGTACAAAGGACTTTGCTTTGTGTACATCTGTAAACCTAGAAACCCAATAACAAAAATTCGAACATACAGGCAATTTGTATTTCCCTAAAGAAAACATAACACTCTTATAGTTATTTCTTGCCCAAAAACTTGACAAAAAAGTATATGCACCTATTAAAATCCAACCCAGCATTCGGTTGGCATCCAAATCCCGACAGGATTGGTACATAGAAAACCTACCAAAACAAAACCTGTGCAGCGATACAATTCCCTAGCTACTTGAGAAATGAGAATAAGTTTATCAAGACTGAAAAGAACTAGCTGTTATGACCTTGATAAGCAACCCTAATGAACAATCAATAAGTTACAAGGCCAAGCATGAGGCAGGTATTAGTAGTTACCTCCAAGCTTCAGAAGCTTTTAATCTGCAAGGATTGCTAATAAAGGAGATCTAACCAAATTTAGACTCCTGTGCAGACCTGTAGCGTATGCAAAGTCCAAAAATGATCCTCCCACATTTAGTATGGGATATTCCACATTAAGATGTGTGTACAAAGTGGGCTATTTACCAATTGCAGACCCTTTTTTGGCATCAGTAGCACAAAATCAACTATTTGCGATCCAGATTATATTCAACAGTGCTGTTTCTGTTCGTAGGAAGCATAGCAATGGAAACAATTTATGTTTGTCAGCCCTTCCACTTGTCCATATTGTGTACTCAGTTCAATTAATCACCGACTCTCAAAAGTTCTTGGTCAAGGTTTGCAAGCAACTAAAAGCACTTTCACTAAGATAAACAGATAATTTTATTCTACTGGTAGGTCTACTCTCCTTAAGAAATGAAATAAAATCTAGTAATTATAGTATGCCATTTGAACCTTTCTTCTACTCATCCTTGTTTGTAATTTCCCATTAAGTTCAGATACAGTACCTAACTGTAACCAAGCATATGATTCCCAGACCTTAACAACCAATAAATATGTCAAAATGCAAATTTAACTCACTCCAATACTAAAACTCACACACAGGCAAGAGATTCCAGGTCAACCTTCTCAGACCCAATCTCGTACAATTCCAAGCAAGCTACACAGTTCCTTATAGCCTTCAGTTCCTAGTTAACCCACTTAGGGTTTTATTCATTGTTATGGAACTGAAATGATTAACTGGTGTGAAATGACCATATTTCGCTTTTATTATTGAAACCCAAAACCTTTCCAAAGGATTCAGCACAAAAAAATATCCAAAGTACCTTAAGAGTCACATTAAGAAAATCCCTCATTCTCTTGTTATAATCTACTATTCATAAGAACAAAGGATGCAGCATGACTCCAAGCTTTCCATCAGGTGAAGTTCTTATAGGAGACAAATTAGACGAAATATCATAAACTAAGCACTTGTATGTTTCATCTCTGAACAGCCTGAGTTTCCTGGCAGCGAAATAACTACAGCCTGACATAGCATCCAATCTTTGGATATCCAAGAGGGCTTGAACCACAACCCTATTGTATACAATGAAAGATTCTCAGCACATACATAAGCTCTTAGGGAAATTCTGTGTGTCCATAACTGTAGGCATCATAATGCAAAAGCTTCATACAGTCCACATCCTACAGCATCCTCTTGCTCATGTCAGATCTGTTCCATAGACAAATTCACTTGTAACCATATTGCTCTGTTTTCACCCGTGACCTTTTAGAGCAAAAGAAGAGAAGCCGTGCCTTCGAAAAACATAAATCTCCAGAGGAAAAAATAGTAATGCCTTGGGCACCTTGGGCTCATACTTAAGCATGCATCACTGACTTAATAAAACATGAATAACACAACAAATTAAATTACCTCAGTAGTACGAGCCAGAACCACCTGAACCCATGTAACTGCTTCCACCCACACCACGGCCAGAGTACATTGATGAGTAAGAGCTACCTCCAACCTACAATAGATAATCAAGAAACAATGATACATGAGACCGCTAAACAAAGAGCTATTCCTGTCATTACACCGAACAAGATCAGGCACATACATCACTGCCACGAGACATATAATCACCACCATAGCTTGATGAGTACATTCCACCAACATCATTACCGCCATAAGAACCTGAAGCCCAAGAAATGAAAAAACTCAGGCCTTTAAGTCTATGATTTCAACAGTAACACTATATCTCAGATAACCATCAATTCCAAACACACCTCCTCCATAGCCCATGCCCTGACGACTGCTATAAAGTCCATGTGAATCCTGACTTGTTCTGCTGCTTCCATATCCTAAACTAGATCTCCCCATTCTATCAAACACAACAAAGATACGTTAAAGGTAAGTTACGGCATCCACACATGTGAGAATAAAAGTTAATGTTCCAATTCACGGGACAAACCTATCACTATAGGCATCTCCATACTGAGAACCACTTGCATACTCGTAGTCCAACCGTGCCCTTGATTGGCGAATACCCCCATCAGCATAACGAGGAGGAACGTCATCCTACAATACAAAACATGTTGCAAGGAAAACATTTAGCCCATATTTCATATTGGGCCTGAGAAGACCAAAGAAATTGCATTTTCATCTACAGACAAGGTCGCCAGTGACACTAACCAGTGCAGAGTATGGACGCTTTGAACCAGAAATAGAATCATAATCACGAGCACGACCTTCACGGTAACTTGGAGGAGGATGAGAAGGGGGAGGATGCCTTTCGTACCTTTGTCCATAACCCTCATCAACATAAGCTCTCCTCCCTCCTGTACGAGAGGTACTTCTTGGTGGATCAGAGTAGCCAGGACCACGTGGGGTATAGTCATCTCTATATGATTGGCGTCTCTCTGGAACAGCCCTTGAGCCATAATCAGCGGCTACTCTGCTCCTTGGAGGAGGAACCTCATCGCGCCTACCATATTCCCTCTTGAAGCTGCTCTTTGGGTATGCTGGGACTGTTGAAAAAAGCAGACCAATATAATTATTCCAAATGATAAAAATTGCAACACAAAACCAATTAGATAGTATAAATCCAAAATATTTCATACCAGGTGGCCTCCTATCATAGGACCTAGCTGGAGGAGGCAAAGGCCTGCCTCTTGCTGGATAAGGTGACATTGCTGGGCGTCTTTCTCTTAACCCAACAGGCCTCTTCACGCTGGCTGGTGGGATTCGACTTCCAACTCCCCTTAATCCACGCAGGGGAGGGAGAGAACGAGGTGTTGGGCGACCCCACGAACCCCTAACAACTCGTCCAACAGCCCTTGAAGGCCGATAATCTCCGCGCCCAACATGTTTTCCTTTACCTCTCTGAAGCGGTCTTGATAATCTCGCCCTGACTTTGGCCTAAAGTATGACAATTATTTATAAAGTTAATATCCAACTAAGGCCCATACACATCTACTTCATTGACAATGTCTAAAATAGAAATTTGCTGTTATCAGCCAACACACCTTGTTGTCTCCTTCACCTAACTCAGCATTGTTAATGCTTTTAGCACATGTCACTGCAGCATCATGAGTGTCGAATGTAACGAAACCAAAATCTTTCCTCTTAGCCGAGGGCATGTTCCGCGCAAGCTCAATCTTTTCAACCTCCCCATATTTCTTTAGAAGTTCTTGGACATGATCCTCATCCCATGAAGCAGGTAAGCCATCCACAAAGACAGTTTTAACCTGCATCTCAATATATGTGATCAGCAGTTCCAACATCACCTAGGAAACTCCTCTAAATGACATAATAACACTACATAGAGGAAAGGCCCTCAAACCCACTATACTATACATGGTTGTTCTTATTATGGCCAACAGAGGAGAAAAACTTAACAAGATTGATAGAAAACAAAAATAAAAAACTAAGAAACATTACCTGAAAAAGCAACTCTGAAGAATCTAATCCAACATTTTGTAGATGTTATGGTAATTTGACAAACAAAATTAGAAAAATTACTTCTACCATAACATTAAAAGAAAATAATCAAGACAATCCATCCACAACTCCTAATATTAATGGAAAGAGATGTTACGAGGGCCTTTATGTACGTCACACACCATATCACTAG